TACTTGAACATGTTTGCATTTGCGTTCCCAAGTCCTCAGAACAAAGGCCTGTGTTACCAATTTAATTACCTTCTGACGTGACAGAAGTATGCCCCGCAGTGGTGCAGCATTATGGCTATAGACACCTAAAGGGCACCAGAGGAACATCAGACACTGGTAGAGCTGGGATTTCTAGCTACGTGCTCTCTGCCTCAAAGCTCTGTACAAGTTCCTGTTGAACTCAAGATTGATTCCAGCTGTCCTGAAATGCCTGAGCCTGAGTACAGCTGGCTGCCGCTTTGTAAGAGTGTACACACTAGGTAAGAGTGGAAGAGTTTGGGAGGGTTGGTGGTTTTTTTTCCACTTTCCATCTACCACTCTGGATGTGGTAAGGGAAGAGAGTCATAACCCCTTTGAAGCTGCAGGAGAAGAGCTAGAACTAACCACAAAAGCTCAGGCATGCCTGAAGAAGGTGCAAGAAAGAGCTCCTGGAGAAAATAGGTTTATTAAGCCCCCTAAATCAATGGGACTTTGGCAATTCTGAAAAGAAATTGTGGAGTGATTCTGCACAGATGAGGCTTGGAAGTGCCTTGAGCTCCTTTCTTGTTTTCCTTTTGGTCAGGCTGCTAAAAGACAGACTTTTGACAGTCTCCTAGGAGAAAGGGTCTTTAAATAGCATCATGTACAACAGAAGTTAATACAAGTAAGGCCTTTTGTGTGGGTGGATCTGTAACTCTTGCAGTTGATCTCTTGGTGCATAGGTTTGGATAACCCAAGAGAAGCTGTGCTTTTGGCAGAAATTTTCAAATTAATTGGAAAGACAGAAAAGCTGTAAGCTGGTTTTGGCTGGGAGAGAGTTAATTTTCCTTATAGTAGCCGGTATGGGGCCATGTTTTGGGTTTGTGCTGAAAACAGTGTTGATGATGCAGAGATTTGTTGCTGAGGAGCCATGATGCTTACATAGCACTGAGGCCACCTGTGCTTCTCAGGCTGCCCCACCAGCGAGTAAGCTGGGGTTGCACAAGGAGCTGGTGAGGGACACAGTCGGGGCAGCCGACCCCAACTGACCAAAGGGATATTCCAGACCATATGCCAGCATTTAAAGCTGGGGAAGCAGGGGGGGGGGGGGGTGTGCGTTGGGAGTGATGGTGTTTGTCCTCCCAAGTAACTGTTGTGTGTGATGGTGTCCTGCTTTTCTGGAGATTGCTGAACACCTGCTGGCCAATGGGAAGTAGTGAATGAATTCTTGTTTGCTTTGCTTAACACACATGTGGCCTTTTGCTTTACCTAATGAACTCTTTGTGTCAACCCATGAGTTTTCACACTTTTACCCTTCCTACTCGCTCCCCCATCCCTCTGGTGGGGAGTGAGCAAGTGGCTGTGTGGGGCTGAGCTGCCTACAGGGTTTAAACCACAACCTGTTTCTGTTTCATTTTTCTGGTGGCTCGACTTACCTCACAAGTTCTCATGCATTTCACGCGAACAAAAGAAAATGCCTCCCTAGTTGAAGGGCTGCTAAATGCTGCTCATCCCGAGTCAAGAGGAACTGACAGAACGGGAGCACGCAGCCAAACTGAGGAGAAGCGAAGCACTGAGCTGTGGTGTCCCCGTCACTACATTGTGTAATTGGAACTCTTAGTAGTACAATAGGCAGCTGAGTGCTGTGCTATCCTATATCCATGTGCCTTCCTTACAAACAGCTTTCACAACTTGCTTCAAGCAGCTCTCAGATCATTAGGCATTGGCTTGCAAGAACATTTCCAGAAATTAATGAAGAGAGCAGCTGCTGAAGAAGAGCTGGGTATTGGCAAAACTTTGTGTAAAATTCAGAGTAATCGTATTTATAGTTAAGATATTAGGTTGTCAAATTACCTGACAATCTGCCTCTACAATTCTAGCTCCGAAGGGAGAACAACACAGCACTAAGGGGAGGGACACAACGATGATACCCCCAGTCAGCGTGAGCCGGAACTGCCTGTCTCCATATGGATGAGTCTAACTGGTCTGTGAAGATGCTGGGGTTCCTGGTGAATTGGCTGGATGGCAGTTGCTTTACATGAGGAGACTAATGGTGGAGATTGATAACTGACAGATTTGATTCCTAACTGATGAAGAATTCCTAATTGGCTTCATGACTCATTATATAATAAGGAGACTCCTAATAAGACCTTGTTTATAGCATGTATTAAATCTTGCGGGAAAATTTCCCCCCCCCCCCTTTTTATTTTTTACCCTGAACACCTGAGATGATTCACTAGTTCCTTCAGCACAGAATCATAGAATGGTTTGGGTTGGAAGGGATCTCAAAGATCATCTAGTTCCAACCCCCCTGCCATGGGCAGGGAAACCCTCCACTACACCAGGTTGCCCAAAGCCTCATCCAACCTGGCCTTGAACACCTCCAGGGATGGGGTGTCCACAACTTCTCTGGGCAACCTGGTCCACTGCCTCACCACCCTCAATGTAAAGAATTTCTTATATCTAACCCTAAATCTGCCCTCTTTCAGTTTAAAGCCATTGCCCCTTGTCCTATCACTACATGCCCTTGTAGAAAGTCCCTCTTCAGCTTTCCTGTAGGCCCCCTTTAGGTACTGGAAAGCTGCATAGCCAACTGTTTGTATTTGCTGTATCTTTTTCCTTTTGATTCCTAAGGAAAAAGTTATCTATGTGAGCACGCTGTCAGTCAGACACGTCTGACTTCAGAATCTCTTGGCTCACTTAAATTTTGTCAACAATGCAGCCCAAAGAAGATCCAGTCTCTCCCTCTAAGGGAAACGGAACTGTGAAAAGTACAGTACTTCTGCTCTGCCTGATCCCTGGCTGGATCCACAGGACAGGGAACCCAGGATGTACGCACAGAACTGGAAATTGATGAAGAACACATGTGACTTGTAAGAGGTAAAGTGCTGAGCAGTATGTGTGGAGAGAGGGGATCGAGGAAGAAAATCCACAGTAAAACAGGTTATGTTAATTATTTTTCCCATGGAGTAGTATGCTTGTTTGCTTATAGTTTCTATTCAATATTTAAGAAAAATAAAAATTAGTTTCCTAATGGGACTGCACGTTTCAGGCCATGTCCAAGTAACAGACATACTTCTGTATATGAGCTCTCCTTGCTTCAGCACGACTCTCAACAGTTTCATGACAAATCCCTAAATGAGCATCAACAACTAACTTGGAAAGTTACTCCTACAATTTAGAAGCACAGAAGTTTCTGTAACTGCTTGCCACATCGGCCTGTTGTTAAGATTCTCATCACTCTCACAGTCAATAATCTCTCCGCCCTTATCTCTGCAGACACAAACTGGTACCAAAGAGAGAAGAAGTATTCAGCACAAGAGTCCAAGAAAAGACTTGGGCTCTTAAAGTAATTCCACTAAAGATCCAGCTGTTCAGTTAAATGATCACCTACATTGATACCATGACTAATGCTGAAAGCTGTAACAAAGATGTAACGGGATGAACATCTCATTCAAAACAAAACAGAGAGACTAATAAAGCTTTAGCTTCTACTTAGAGCTTGTAAAACTCCCTGTTCTGTGTCCATATTAATCACAAGAGACAATATATAAATATTTTTAAGTACTCAGCTCCTTATCTAGCAACTTCTTTCACTGTGCCTAGTACAGGGACTGGAAGATCAGCGAGGTGAGTGAGCGCAGGACAACTGGACATCTTCAAACGTGAAGCTGTACCTGCACAATTGGTTTTCACTGTTAAGGCCACTCTGTGTAGAGGATAATCTGAAATGCAGGTCACAGCCACATCCTGCTGGGGATGCTCGAGGTCAAGCGCTTGACTCTTCCTCAAGGTGTACCGAGACACTACAAATGAATGACTTTAAGTGGTGTGGAGAAGTAACAAACACCTGTTTGATGTGACCTGATTATATACTGCAAAATTTGCAGCACCCTCCCCCTTTATTTTGCAAAAGTTAGGCATAAAATACACAAGGCTTTGCAATAGTTGTCTTAAAATCTGCATTGGAAAGATACCTTACTAGAGCAACAGCAATGTGGTACGGCTGACAGGAGACACTGCGTGTGTTTTAGCTATCAAACTACAAACTGGAGACCAGCTCAGAGATGCTCTCGAGTACAAAGCGTCGTACGTGCTGACGCTAATTTCTTAAGGCTTTTGCTCCTTGGCTGTATTTTCAATAAAAACATTTGCCCTTGTGGTAAGAGCAGATACTGACAGTCTGTTATGTTTTACGTAATTCTTAACTGATACCAGCTGATTCCAGGCAGCTGCTGCTCCCTCTGCCATGTGCTTCCCTCCCATTTAGTTGACAGGAAAGATGAGCTTTTTCCTCAGTGTGAAACTAGGCTGTGGCATCTGCTTGTCTTCATTTGGCTTGCAACTCTTTCTGCTCACTTCTTGATTCACTGCTGTCAGGATGGTGAGGATATCTTCTCCTCTGCAAAAACACAAGTGTATTTTGTATTAGGGAGGCAGTTAACATCAGAAGAATTACCACACTCTGATATATCTTGATCTATACCAGTGCTAATAGCTCCTGTTTTAAACAGGCTTCAAAGCAGTTAGGTAACTACCACCTTGAACAATCTGCATGGTGTTGCTCTGTTCGACATCACACTTTTCACTCTGAGCAAGCACTCCCACTGCGTACCATCTACCTCTGCATCCAAATCAAAGTCCTGTCATTCAG